CGGAATATAAGTGAAGATTCACCATTTGTGGATGATTAAAAATTATATTAGACTTAAAACAAAATAATAATTATACACAATGATGGGTGCCAGGTCAGAAGACTGACTAGATTACAAGTAAATAATGACTAAAAGATACATATGTGAGAAAGTTACACAGTAATATAACAACAGATAGTTAAGATGTTCTTTTTCTAAAAAAATACGAAAGCAAGCATTAGTCCTATTAAGTCTGGGGAATTAATATTGGAAAGTAAGGAGCTAGCAGATGACTTGAACATGTACTTTGCATCAATCTTCCCAATACAAGGTACAAGTAACATGGCAGAAATCGCCAGATCAGGAAATGGAAGGAAGGGAGGAAGGAACTCATTCAATCAAGTGAAGTGGCACTGAAAATTGCTTGAGCTGTGGGCTGACGTGTCCCCAGTCTAAATGGAATTTATGCTAGGACCTTAAAGAAGGGGCTAGTGATATAGTTGAAACATTGGTTTTAATTTTTGAAACTTTTAGGGAAGGTTCCATTAGATTCGCAAGCCGTGACAGGGTTCAGGCCAGGTCTGTGCATCCGCTGTCACCATTGTCCCATTTTATTTCATGCCAATTAAGGCTGGCTTTGGTACTTCTCAACGTCTTCAATTATTCCAACACTGTGAAGTCACTCAGCATATTTGCACACTTATTAGTTGTCCATTGGATGAGGGAAGCAATAACTAAATATGGCTTTGCAAATATAGCATTATTTTATGGTCTCTATTTGTACTTCACAATATCAGAAGAATTTTGCTACCTCAGTTACTTCTTCCTTCACTCCCACCTAACTTCTCACGCTGATTCAGAATGGGGCAGGCACAGAGCAATAGCACCAGCCGAGCATCCTCTTTGCTCCCTTTTGGCACTTGGTTTTCCTCCTCACTGGATATTTAAAATTATATATCTGACTCACTGCAGATCATCCAAGAGGTAGCATTTGAAATGGAGTCATAATAAAAATTTGCATCTCTTTTCAATGATGTCGGCTTCCTCTCTGCACCACCCAAAGGTGGCATTTAAATTTCTCTTTGTGAAAGGGAAATCACCTTAACAAATTTGTGGTCTTTGAGGAAGTAATGATGTGCTGTAAATAAAGGGGAACCAATGGATCTACTCTACTTAGATTTCTAAAAGATATTTGATAAGGTGCGACATTAACAATTTTTGCAGAAAATAAAGCTCATGGTGTGGGGAATGTAACAAAATGGCATAGATAGAGAATTGGCTGGCTAATAAGCAGAAAACAGGCATAAGATGGGTCAATTTCTGGTTGGCAACTTATTAAAAGTCATTTGGACAGGGATCAGTGCTGGGGCCTCGCCTTTTCACAATTCGTTAGTGAATTTGATGACGGAACAGAAGGCATGTTTGTTAAATTTGCAGACAACACTAAGGTAAGCTACAACATACTTTACAACCTATTTCCTGTTCAACGGAGTACAAACAAGGTTAAAAGATGGGCAAAGATGTGGCAAATAATGTATAATGTGGGAAAATGTGGAATGCCCATTTTGGCAGTGAGAGGAAAAGAGTTATCTAAATACTAAGAAATTGCACAGCTGGGATGCAGAGGGATCCGAGTGCCTCAGTACATGAATCACAAAATGTTAACATGCAAGTACAGCAAGTAATTAAGAAAACTAATAGAATATTATTGTTTCTTGTGAGGGGAATTGTATACAGAAGTAGGGAAGCTATGCTTCAACTATGTAGGGTATAGTGAGTCCATATTTAGAACATATTACTGCGGATACTGGAATTTGTACTGAAAACAAAAAAATTCTGGATATCACAGCATGTCAGGCAGCATCTGTGCAGAGACAGCACACTAACATTTCAAGTCTAGATGAAGAAGAGTCTCCTTATTAAAAAAATGATTTAAAGGCATTGGAACAGTTCAGAGAAGGTTTATTTGACTAACACCTGGAAGGGATGAGTTGTCTTGTGGAAAAAGTTGGACAGGCTGATCTTATATCCACTGGACCTTAGAAGAATTAAAACAGAATCAATTTAAACATAAGATCCAGAAGGGTCTTGATTGTGTGGATACAGAAATGATGTTTCCTCTTGTGAGAAGATCTTGAACAAGAGGGTCATCGTTTCAAAATAACGGGTTGCCCATTTATGACACAACTGAGAAGAACTTTTCTCTCAGGACTGGGAGTCTGGAATCTTTTTCATCAAAAAGCGGTACAACAGACTCTTTGAGCATTTTTAAGGCAGAGGTGGATAGATGGTTGACAAGCAAGGGGTGATGGGTTATCAAGGAAAGTAGGAATGTGCAGTAATCAGATCAGCTGAGAGATGGAGCAGGCTTGTGGGGGCCCACTTATGCTTCAGTGCAAGGAACTACGAATGGTCACAAACACTGCAATATGTGAACATCTACACCACTCACTTAAAGAAAGAAAATCATTGATGAAACAAATGAAATTGCTTCAAAATCTGACCTGATATTCCTAGGTAAAAATTATAGGTTACAAATAACCGGTACTGTCATCCTTTGTACAAGATATGCTAGGCTTAGACCATGGCTCAACTGAGGTCAGGAGTCATGTTGCACTGGCAGAATCCAAACTGTGTATCAATTAGTTGAGTACTGTAAAATGCCACTTGATAGCACTATCAGCATCAACTTCGTTTCAAATTAATTTGTGGGATGTGGGCATTGGTGACTGGGCAGCATTTACTGCCCATCCTAGTTGCTCGAGAAGGTGGCGATGAGCTGCCTTCTTGAACCACTGCAATCCACCTGCTGCGTGTTGCCCCACACGCCATTAGGGAGGGAATTCCAATTTTGACCCAGTGACAGTGAAGGAACGGCGATATATTTCCAAGTCAGGATAGTGAATGACTTGGAGGGGAAATTGAAGGTAGTGGTGTTCCCATATATCTGCTACCCTTGTCCTTCTAGAGGAAAGTCATCATGGGTTTGGAAGGTGCTGTCGGAGGATCTTTGGTGAATTTCTGCAGTGCATCTTACAGGTTGTACACACTGCTGGTACTGAGCGTTGGTGGTGGAGGGAGTGGATGTTTGGGGATGTAGTGCCAGTCAAGTGGACTGCTTTGTCCTGGATGGTATCAAGCTTCTTGAGTGTTGTTGGGGCTGCATTCATCCAGGTAAGTGGGGAGTATTCCATCACACTCCTGAATTGTGCCTTAGAGATGGTGGACAGGCTATGGGGAGTCAGGAATTGAGTTACTTGCCATAGAATTCCTATTCTCTGACCTGCTCTTGTAGCCACTGTGTTTATGTAGTGAGTCCAGTTGAGTTTCTGGCCAATGATAACCCCCAGGATGTTGTCATTGGGGGATTCAGTGATGGTAACACCACTGAAAATCAAGGGGTGGTGGTTAGATTGTCTCTTATTGCAGATGGTCATAACCTGGCATTTGACTGGCCTGAATGTAACTTACTACTTGTCAACCCAAGCCTGGATATTGTCCAGATTTTGTTGCATTTAAACATCAACTGCTTCAGTACCTGAGGAGTCGCAAATGGTGCTGAACATTGCACAACCATCGAAGAACATCCCCACTTCAGACCTCCTAATGGAGGGAAGGTCAGTGATGAAGCAGCTGAAGACGGCTGAGCCCAGTACACTACCCCGAGGAACTCTGTAGAAATGTCCTGGAGCTGAGATGACTGACCTCCAACAACCACGACCATCTTCCTATGTGTGAGGTATGACTCCAACCACTGGAGAATTTGCCCCCATACTCATTAATTCTAGTTTTGCTAGGGCTCCTTCACACCACACTTGGTCAAATGCAGCCTTGATGTCAAGGTTGTCAGTCTCACCTCACCTCTGGAATTCAGCTCTTTTGTCCATGTTTGAACCAAAGCTGAAATGAGGTCAGGGACTGAGTGGCCCTGGTGGAACACAAACTGGGCAGGTGCTGCTTCATAGCACTATTGATGACACCTTCCATCACTTTACTGATGTTTGAGAGTAGACCGATGGGGTAGTAATTGGCCTGGTTGGATTTGTCCTGCTTTTTATGTACAGGACATACCTGGGCAATTTTCTACATTGTTGCGTGGATGCCAGTGTTATAACTGCACTGGAACAGCTTGACTACGGGAGCGGCAAGTTCTGGAGCACAGATCTTCAGTACTATAGCCAGAATGTTGTCAGGGCCCGTAGCCTTTTCAGTATCCAGTGTCTCCAACCGTTTCTTGATATCACATAGTGTGAATCGAAGTGGCTGAAGACTGGTATCTGTAATGCTGGGGGCAATTGGAGGAGGCCGAGATGGATCATCCACTCGGCACTTCTGGCTGAAGATTGCCGTGAAAGCTTCAGCCTTTTCTTCAATCACTTTGCTGATATTTGAAATTAGACTGGTGGGACAACATTTTGGCTGCACTAGATTTGTCCTGTTTTTCTGTGGACAGGATACAATTATCCATTTCAATACTGTTAGGTAGTTGCCAAAATTGCAGCTTGTCTGAAACATTATTGCAGGGAGCATAAGTCTTCAGTACTTCAGCCAGGGTGTTGCCGATTTTGTCTCTCATTAAAAGAATTCCAAGAGTCATGCACCTGAGAGCTGATCAGTCTTGGTTTTAAACCACAAAATTGTGTAGGCTTCAGGACAGAAGTGATTCAATTTAGCACATTTCACAAAAAAAGCTACTTCAGCAACAAATAATGCAAACGGTTACAAGTGTCTGACGTGCATTGGTACCATAAGCTGAAGAAACTTTTAAAGTTTCACAGCAGATTTTTTGTTTGGGAAAGGGGTGATAGGGAAGAGAAAAGGGGGGAGAGGAAGAGGAAGAGGTCGACAGCGAGGGGCGGGTGAGGAAGAGGTCGAGAGCGAGGGGGGAAGAGGAAGAGATGTTAAAATACTTAAAGTAATAAGGTTTCAGGAAATTTGTAAAAGGCAGGCAGTGGGTCAGACAGCAAGATAACCAATGGACTACAGATTAACTTCCTATAGATCGACAATCTATAACTCACATTTAGAGCAGCTTCTCCGCACTTCTCAATGGCAGCCAAACCCTGGTTATGAATGTGTGTTTCTAGAAGCTTCTTCAGCTCCCCAAGGCCATCCTGGATTCGAGAAACTAGGTTATACATTCTACCAAGATCTGCCAAAACACAAAAGTAAATTTGTCTAAATGTTGAAAAAAAAAGTTGAAATTGAGCTTTTCCCTTATCCAACATTTCAGGCATGGTACTTTAATCTTTATTATTATTTACTACTGTCTTAAAAGACAGATGGAATATATGCAACAGAATCTGTAATCATACCTCAGTTGTCATTAAAAAAATCATATCTGACAAGTTACAATTAACAAGAAAAAAATCCACAGATAGAAAAATGCATACATTCAAGTATTTCTGCTAAAGCTACCAAGTGTCATATTGGACTCGAAACATTAACCGTTTCCCCTGCACAGATGCTGCTTTTGGATGTGCTGATTTTCTGCGGCTTTTTTTTTATTATTTCCAAATACTCTGAAAGCTCAATTTAGGCTGAATGCTATGTTCCACAGCATCGAATCATATGTAAACTTCACTTTTCCACAATGTTTGTTTCACTATTGAGTATTTCAGCTTTTAATTCACTACCTTGTTTTAACCAGTCCCTAATGAACCACCACTCTCAATAAACCAACAAAAATGATGTACCTCAAATACCAGAGGTTTACTTTATTATCGTGATCTCTGTGATGTCCAAGTCGTCAGTTCAGGATGCAAGTGAGGAGGTTCCCTGCCACTAAGTTTTATTTAAGGCAAAGCTGTATTATTATTTAAGTGTTTTATACTATAAATAAAAGTATAACAGATGTGTATACTATCTGCATTACATTTCTATTACTTAGTGTGTGTTTTGCGCAAGATTAAAGTGCATGGGATAGGAGGAAGTGTATTGAGATGGATAGAAAACTTGTTGGCAGACTTGAAACAAAGAGTAGGAATTAATGGGTCTGTTTCAAATTGGCAGGCAGTAACTAGTGGGGTGCCACAGGGATTGGTGCTGGGACACCAGCTATTCACGATATATATTAATGATTTGGACGTGGGAACAAAATGTAACATCTCAAAGTTTGCAGACAATACCAAGTTGGGTGGGAGAGTGAACTATGATGAGGATGCAGAGATCCTTCAGCATGATCTGGACAAGCTGGGTGAGTGGGCAAATCAATGGCAGATGCAGTATAATTTGATAAATGTGAGGTTACTCACTTTGGAAGCAAAAACAAGAAGGCAGATTACTACCTTAATGGCTGTAAATTGGGAAAGGGGAGAGTGCTATGGGACCTGTGCGTCCTTGTGCACCAGTCGCTGAAGTTAAGTATGCAGGTGCAGCAGGCAGTAAAGAGGTCAAGTGGTATGTTGGCCTTCATTGCGGGAGGTTTCGAGTACAGGAGCAGGGATGTGTTGTTGCAGTTGTAAAGGGCCTTGGTGAGGCCATACCTAGAATATTGTGCAGTTTTGGTCTTCTTTTCCGAGGAAAGATGCTCTTGCTGTCAAGGGAACGCAGCGAAGGTTTACCAGGCTGATTCCGGGGATGGCAGGTCTGACGTATGACGAGAGATTGACTAGGTTAGGAATGTTTTCGCTGGAATTCAGACGAATGGGGGGGTGGGAATCTCATGGAGACTTATAAAATTCTAATAGAACTAGACAGGGTAGATGCAGGGAGGATGTTCCTGATGGTGGGTGTGTCCAGAACCAGGGGTCACAGTCTGAGGATTTGGCGTAGACCATTTAGGACAGAGATGAGGAGACATTTCTTCACCCAAAAAGTGGTAAGCCTGTGGAAGTAGTTGATGCCAAAACATTGAATGTATTCAAGAGGCAGCTAAATATAGCACTTGGGGTGAATGGGATCAAAGGTTATAGGGAGAAAGCAGGATTAGGCTACTGAGTTGGACCATCAGCCATGATCGTGATGAATGGTGAAGAAAGATCAAAGGGCTGAATGCACTCCTCCTGCTCCTATCTTCTATGTTCTTATGTTTACATTGACCATGTGGACCTCTTGATCAACTGGTACACTCCTGGTCCCAGAGGTGCTGATTAGTAAGAAGTTTGCAGGACCTGGGTACCACACTTGAAAGCTAGCTCACGTGTACATAGTGCTTAATGATCACTTTGAAGTGCAGTCAGAGCGGTGTATAGGAAAGACTGAGCTAACATGTGTGCTGTAAGCTCTCTCAAACAGTAATATGATAATGATCAGATCATCAACTTTTGTGACATTGACAGTGGGATAACTGTTGGCCAGGACATCAGGGACAAATTACTTCCTCTTTTTCAAACAATGCCGTGGAGTCTTCTGCATACACCCGAGGAGTAACCAGGGTCTTGGTTTAACATATCATTTAGAGGTGTCACTAATGAAAAAAAGTAAGGTAAGGATGCTACCGTCTTCGGGGACCACAGGATTGCTCTCTCATTACTGAGAAGACTGGTGGTGGTGGTGGTTTAACTGAAGGTCACCATGCCTCAGTGAGAAGAAATATTCCTTACTGGTTTCCTCTCACTCCAATTTCTTCTTCCTGATTGACCTTTTAGGAATTCTGTCATTCTTTACATTGTCAATTATCTGACCTGCCACACACCTTTGTGCAGCTATATGCTTTTTCAAGTCTGATGTTATCTCTAACTTCCTAAGTTAATCATGAATGATGGAGGCCCTCCTTACAGCATTCTGAAATATCAGCACAAATGTCTGCTATTTGAACTTTCATGCCAATATATAATAGCCCGTAATTAGATTTATAAATTAGACTTGTCCCTTATCTTCACTCTTTCAAACTAAATGCAAAGTTCAATCACACTATGGTCACTGCTACCTCGAGATGTCTTTACTCTTAGGTCACTCATTTTCCCGTCACACTACACGAAACAAGCCTAATATGATCCTGCTTTCTGGTGAGTTTCAGAACATGCTGCTCTGAGAAACTCTCTTTTATGAACTCCTCATTCAGGCTACTGCTACTAATTTGATTTTTCGAGTTTGCACATAAAGTCAACCATGATTATTGCCACTCCTTTATCACAAGTACCCAACATATGTTCTTGTAACTTTCTCACTTTGTGATCACTGTTGAGAGGCCTGTACACTACTCCCACTAGACTCTTCTTTCCCCTATGATTCCTCATTTTCACCCAAACCAGTTCTATGTCCTGATCTCACAAACCAAGGTCATCTCTAACTATTTGACAAAGGCCATTGTGGTTTAACAGATAAGTATTTCTGCAAGCCTGATCTACAGATTCCTTCAGTACTTCACCCCATGTTCACTCTGCAATCTACAATGTAGTGTTGCCTCTCTTGACTTAATAGCATGCCAACACATTTATGGTCAGTGTGTGCATTTTCACTGAAGTAACGTGAAGGCATCAATTACACTAGTTATACGAAATCCCCAAAGCTGTTACTGGGTTATACTAACACAGGAGGCTAATTAGTCTGCTAGGCCCCAACCTACCATCTGCAGAATAAACCAGTCAATCTCATTCCCACTCCCACTCCCACTTCAGCTCTGTAGTACTGCAATTTCAATTTCCACAACCTCCTAATTTCCATTTGAAATTATCGATCATTGTCACTTCCACTACCCTTGTAGGCACCACTTTCTGTCCACAACTACTACTTGCATAAAAATCTTTTCCTCACATCTCTCCAATATCTCTGACCCAAAATCTTAAATCTTTGGCCCGAATTGTTGAACCATCCTTTAAAGGGAATTATGTTTCTTTGTCAACATCAAACATATCTGTCATTATCTTTTACATCTTTATCAAATCTCCCTTTAAACAGCTTTACCTAAGGAGAACAACTCTAATCTCTCCAAGCTAACCTTTTGGTTGAACTTCTCCATTCTGGGATCATTCTAGTAAATCTCTCCTGCATCGTCTTAGAGATATTCACTTTTTGTTTTCTAAAGTGTGGAGACTAGAACGAGAGGCAATTAGCATTGTGGCCTAACTAAAGCTTTATAAAAGGTACAGCACAACATCCCTGTTTTTGCACTCAAACCTAGGATCCCATCTACTTTCCTAATTACTTGTGTCGGTATGCGAATGCTACACAATTTGTGTATCAGGACACCAAGATTTCTCAAATATTGTAGCATGCTGTGTGGCAAGCAATGACTACTAGTCATCAGATTGCTGAGAAGTGAAATGTGGCTGTGTAGCTCCTTCCAGAAGATGATAGAGAAGTATACTATGGCACTTTAAATCCAAGGGCAGAGGCCATTTAAAGGCTAAAGTCAGACCTAATATTATTGGGCATGAACCATGCAGGAGCAAAGCTAAAGGAGGTGACAGCAGATAGCCATGGTTGCATTTTTAGAGAAACAGAAGCAGCAAAAGGGCCTATCTACACAACAATCAGATGGACCATACACATCACATGCCTAATTGCCCAGGTAGTCACAACGAAGTGTTAGCTGACCCCTTCTGACCAAGTCAGGAAACAATCTCCACGATTAAGTTCCACCCTTTCTTTCCTAAGGGAATGCTTTTTTTTTAAAAAAAAAGTGTTATGAAACTGTTCCCTAAATGTCTGCTACTGCTCCTCTATCCATCTTATCTTTTAACATATTTGCTGTCCACTGCAATTAATTGTGTTTTCATCCTTTTTTAAAGGCTGAACCATCTCATCCTTAAATTGAATGCTGCTTTCGATTATTATCTGAGCACTCTTACCTAGAGGGTTTGTTATTGTGCAGGTCATTAAAATAGCCTGCTCCATGGTCGCTCGAGGAAACTGTCCCAAATACATTCAAAAAGCTCATTCCCAAAGCTAAAAGCTTCCAATTTGATTTGTCCAAACAATAAGAATAAAACCACCCACGATTATTGCAATACCTTTCTCAACAAGCTCCCATTATTTCTTGATTTTACAATCCGTCCTGCAACGTAGCTACTGCTAACCATCGTATAAACCACTTCGATGGGGGCTCTTCTGGCATAACTCTGGGCCAGAAAGACCAGGTTCAAGTCCCACTTGCTCTGGAGGTGACATACCATATCTGAATAACGTGACTAAAGATAAACAACTCCCATCAGCGACTACATCTCATTAGTCCTTATCTCTAGTCAAACCTATTCAACAACTTGATCTATCCAGTCAAAATCATTTCTCACTACTGTACTGATCCCATCTCTTATTAACTGAACTACTCACCACCCTTCCTCTTTTTGCAAACTTTCCAACATGTCAAATACCCTTGAATATTCAGTTCCCAAATTGCAATTAGGTCTAAGTAGCAGTTATCATTTCATATATCCATTTACTTTAACTTGTACTATCAATTCATTCATCTTGTTACAAATGCAACGAACTTTTAATTCTGTCCTTTTGCCATTTATCCCTAACCCTTAATGGTACACTTTCAAATTTGTGTACTCTATCCCTTTCTCGTCATCATTTTCCATAATCACCAAACCTGAACTATTGCATTGTTTTTTCCCATTGACATTCTAAATATCCTCTCACAAGAGTGCCTCACCATCCACTATTTAGTATAAAGCCCTCTCCACAAGCCTCAACATGACAAGATGCTGGACATAGCTTTGTTCAAATTTTTGTTTAAATTCTGCTTTTAGATTTGGACTGTTTCCTTCCAATCTCCCTCTACAGAACGTGTTGTTAGTCTTAAATATTTTGTTGGTACTCTATATGAATCACAACAGGATTTTCCCCCTGCCATTGCAAGTTCCTCTCCAGTTCAAGATGTCTTTAATCCTGATATTTCAGAGGCAACACAGTTTTTAGAATTCCGACTCATGTCTGCAGAAAATAGTGTACACCCCAACCAATCCATCCCCCATCATGTAAGCCCATCCTCAAACCATATACAAAAAACCTCTAGTTTCTCTTTTGTTCAGTGTCTTCTTTTAAGCTACTAGTTTTAAATAATATTCCAGACTTCAGCTCTAAGGCTTTCTTTTCTCCACTCTCCCGTCTTGAGACGTTTGTTTTTTTTTAAAAAAATGGACCAGAAAAGTACCTCTTGCCTCACTTAGCAAATTCTCCAAGTTCAGCACTCTGCACAACTAAACTCCATTACATCCAGCCATGTGATAGCATAAACTTCCTGTGTTTATATGAGCAAAAGTTCCAAGGACCTGACTGATGCCTTGCTCTTAATAGTTAGCAGTTTGTCAGTTCTGACTAGTCACCTCATTAACTGTACAAGTGCCACTAATATGTAACTTGTGAACCATAGACTTCTATAGTGAAAGAAGCTACAAGCCAAGATCAAAGTTTAGAATTTATCAAAAATCCTGCACTTAACTCTCCAAATTTCTTAATCTTTAGAATATGGCTTTATGTTACCTGTTTAAAAACAGACACAGGCACCAAGGAGAAAACACTTTCCATTCAAGAGGATTGATGCCTCTCACATTTGTTTTACCTTCATTTTTATCAGCGTCTAATAAGTTCTGGAACTCTGTATGAAAAATCTCTAGATGTTTTTCAATAAGCACTTGTTCACATTTACGAGCCAGCTCATCCTGTGTGCTTTCATGAAGATAGACTTGTACACGACGCTGTTCTTCCAGAAGCCGAGCCTCTGCCTGCAGAACAGGATATTGTCATTCTCCAGGACAGTTATAAGTGATAGCAACTTAGAAAAGTGGTCAGCTGAAAATATATACATCTTCAGTTATCCACAGTAATATGGGAAGGGAAAAGAGAAATATAGAGGAAATGCACACAGAAAAAGGGCAACAAGGACCAAGAGACAAACAATGTAAAATGTAAGGGTGCAAAATGAATTTACAGGAGGACGACATCCAAAAAGTTTGATAGGTACCCAAGGCTACAGATGCTTGTAAATATCCTGAGATAACAAAGTGTAGAGCTGGATGAACACAGCAGGCCAAGCAGCATCAGAGGGGCAGGAGCATTTTTTTTTTTTTCTGAAGAAGGGTCTAGGCCCGAAACATCAGCCTTCC